GAGAGGCCTGCGTACCCCAAAAAAAAAAAAAAAAAGAAATTTTTTGCAAATGGTTACCTGGCCAGGGTGGGCAGTTTTGGTCAGTGGTTCCCCTAACAATAGGAAGGTTAAGTTTGGGCAGGAGCAGCAGCAGAAAGGACATCCTAGGACAGGCCAGTGCAGCAAAGGCCTGGGCGTGGGATTTGCACAGGGACAGCAAACACCCAGGCACCCTTGAACCTACAGAGCCAGCACTTGCTGCATGATGCTCCCATGGCATTTACAGACTCAGGTCCCTGGGGTTTCTCTTCTCGGGAATAAACATGCTTGTTTCTATCAGTTTCAGTTTCCCACACCATCCCTTGGTGCTGGTGAAGTATACAGGTCCCTCTGGGGCACATTAACAACTTTGGATGACATGACTTGGGCTGGGTTCCAGCCCCTTCTCTGTGGTGTGACTTGTCTGAGTCACTTAATCTTCCTGGGGTTCCTTGATGCTAAAACGGGGACAGTAATGAGGATAGTGTGGAGCCTCCCGTTTGCTGTGAGGATCAGATGGCTGCTGGACATAGTGGAGGTTTGTTACTGTGAGGCGCTGTGCACATGCCCCACCCTGCCACCAGATACAGGGGCAGCAGGGTCCGGCAGGGGCGTGTGATCCAGGGGCTGTGGCTGCCGTGACCCACTTATTCCCCTGGAGGGCAGGTACTTCAGGATGCCCTGGATGCAATTCTGCTTCCCATATTCCATCCTCTCCACAGACTGTTATTGACTCTTTGAGGAATTCCGTCCGACCCGCTGTAGAGACTCTAAAATGAGGGACAGCTTTTGGAAGCTTCCTGTTGTGTCATCCTTTGCCCGAGACATGAACAGTCCAGAAAGGTCTCCCCAGCACAGGGAATGGCCAGGAACTAAAATCCCTGCGGTTACCCATTGAGAAGATAGGGTCCTGCCATAGACACCTCCTCTCAGGGAAGCCTCGGCCTGCCGGGGTCCAGTCTTCTCCCATCTATCATGGATCAGCCACCCAGGGGGGACCAGTGGCTTCTCCTTGTGGGGAGGCTGTGCACAGAGGGCGATTGAGTCAGGAACCAGGGAAGCATCGTCCTCCCACCTCAGCAGGAGATGGGCAGTGCCAACTGCTCATTAGTGGGCCAGTTACAAGCATGCAAGAGCTCCGGGGGGGGAGGGGAGGGTGACAGAGAGGTCTGAGGGACCGAGAAGAACTGAGGCCTTTAGACCAAGGAGGCAGCCCAGTGCAGGTGGACAGACCCTGAAGGCTGGGATTGGTTTCAGGGAATCACTAGGCAGCCAGCTGAGAACCCGAGCAGGACTCAGCCTGAGGGATAGGCCCGCTCGAACTAGAGTGTGGTTGGGATCTCTGCGTGGCCTAGCCTTTAGGATCGGGCCCATTGTAGGGAGACTCAGGAGACATCCAAGAATGACAAGGTGGAACGACAGCCTGGCTGCTGGGTCCCATCAACACTCATGTGGCCCCAGGTCTGGGCGCCTGGCAGACCCTGCTGACCTTGGAGCTGTTCCCTATGTCCTGCCAGGCCTGAGCAGGGCTGGGGCTTCCAGGGACCCGACTGTAGGGTGGGGCTGTCACCTTCAAGGTGCCCCGAGCGGCCCTGTCTTCCTCCCTTCATCTGCACTTTACTTTGGATTTGGGCACATCTCTACAGGGGCTGGGCCTTGGGGGGGTGTTCTAGAACATAATGTCCAAGCCACCCTCTAAAATTATCATGCTCGAGATAATAATGATAACAATAATTATGCTCGTAGTGAAATTTACATTTCTAATGCATTCTTAGAAAACACTGCTGTTTTTAATGGGCTTGTAACATACAATTTAGTTAAAAACTGAGCTTGCGGGCTTCCCTGGTGGCGCAGTGGTTGAGAGTCCGCCTGCCGATGCAGGGGACACGGGTTCGTGCCCCGGTCTGGGAGGATCCCACATGCCGCGGAGCGGCTGGGCCCGTGAGCCATGGCCG